CCCCAAAACCCCAAAACCCCAAAACCCCAAAACCCCAAAACCCCAAAACCCCTTTATACAAGAGAATCGGAAACTCTGAATAAATATTTTCACTCTAATATGGGCGGCCAATTGGTAAGTACAGTAAAGGAATTGACTAGGATTTCTGACTTGGGAAAATTAGGAAGGAACTCAGAGCAGAAGTTTATGGGGTGATAGGAGAGAAGAGTTTAGTGCTAGGCTTTAGTTGGAAGGTTAATTTAGGATCTGAGTGTCTTTTCATAGGTTTTGGGTGGAAATGGGATTGGAGAGTTTGGGTAGTTAAGGAATAGGTTAGCTTTTTTAGATGATTTAGGTTTAGGGATTATTTAATTATAATGGGAATAGGTTTTGGTGAAATTTTGAAGGGGTTTGAGGAATAAATTAAGTTGAAGGATTGAGACAAAAATTTGAGGAAAGCGAGTTTGAAGGAAAGGTTTATCAAAAATTAAGGGAAAGAAGAACCGTGATTATGAGAGTTAAGCCTTGTCAGTCTTGGTGTTGATGAGGCCAAGGTATGGCTCATCCATAGTTCCAGCGCATGTGAGTTGGGCACAGATAAAGTTTACTCCGATTATTCTGAATCTGACCTCATCTTCTTCCCTGATCATGAGGTCCATCTCAGGGGTCTTGTAGACATTTGTGGAAGGGTCATATTCACAGCCGGCTGGCATACAAGAATGAGTGATCATGATCTCTTGTGGCCCAAAAGTTACGATTATATTACTTGGAGTGACCTTTGTGACTGTCCCATCAAGTACATCTCCTCTGAAAGGTTTGAAGAGGAGAGCTGTATATTTCACTGGAAATTCAATCTCTCCAAAAGTGTCAAGGATGGTCCCATCTCCAATGTATCCAACTGAGATTACATCAAGGCAATATCCCTTGTCAACTGTGCAAGTACCTATCATCATCTTTCTGAGTTTATGAAACATTACTTCTCCTAGGTCTGGATGCAACTCATGAGGTGCAACTCTGACTAATCTATCTATCTCAAGCATGAAGAACATTTTACTTAAATTTATCAATTTTTACTATTTATTAGGGGTTTTGGGGTTTTGGGGTTTTGGGGTTTTGGGGTTTTGGGG